AGAGGCAGTGCAGAGTTATGTCACAGACTAAGTTCAAAGTGTAAAAACAAGGTAGCGACCCAAATGTGGCGCGCTACCATCATCTCAATATGGTGATCATTTCTGTATAATAGTCATAAAATCCGACTTCAAATAACAAAGTTATAGGCCGGACAAGATTTTGCTGCAAGATCATGCTGTGACCTTGACCTTTAAGGTAGCAACCCAAATTTGCACATGACACGTCGTCTCAATATGATGATCATTTCTGTAAAATAGTTGTAAAATCTGACTTCAAATAAGGAAGTTATGGGCCAGACACAAATTCAGGACGTACTAACGTACGGATTGATGGACAACCCGGAGACTATATGCTCCCCCAAATTTTTTTGAGGAGCATAATAAACTAAGGTTTGAGAAAAGTAAAAAGATTTAAGATTCAAGTAATAATTTACATGTTATGTGGGATAAAGTATTTATTACCATAATTTTTCTGCATTTCTACCACTGAAAGTACTATTTATGCTTATTTTGACCTATTTTGGTAATTTACTATGACATAGCAATCCTTGCTTGAAGCTTCATATGAATGTTACACAGATAAACAAATTCACTCATGATTAATAATTATGTCAACAATTATCCAACAACAAGAGCCGGTTGAACCGGGTGATGCTCCCTGAATAGGTTTTGGACACAGGAAGGTATACGTCTTGTTGTGTCAGAGTTATGTCACAAGCAAAGTTCAAAGTGTAAAAACAACCCAAATGTTGCGCGACACATTGTCTCAATATGGTAATCATTTCTGTGAAATAGTTGTAAAATCCGACTTCAAATAACAAAGTTATGGCCCGGACACAATTTTCCTGCAAGGCCTTGCTGTGACCTTGACCTTCAAGGTAGCCCCCCAAATATTGCACACGAAACATCATCTCAATATAATGATCATTTCTGTGAAAAAGTTGTAAAATCAAACTTCAAATAATGAAGTAATGGACCAGACACGATTTTGCTGCAAGGTCATGCCATGACCTTGACCTTCAAAGTAGCGACCCAAATGTTACGCCCGACAATTCGTCTCAATATGGTGATCATTTCTGTATAATAGTTTTAAAATCCGACTTCACATAACGAAGTTATGGACCGGAAACGATTTTGCTGCAAGGTCATGCTGTGACCTTAACCTTCAAGGTAGCGACCCAAATCTTGCGCGCGACACGTCGTCTCAATATGGTGATCATTTCTGTGAAATAGTTTTAAAATCCAACTTCAAATAACAAAGTGATGGACCAGACACGATTTTACTGCAAGGTCATGCTGTGACCTTGACCTTCAATGTAGCGACCCAAATCTTGCGCGCGACACGTCATCTTAATTTGGTGATCATTTCTGTGAAATAGTTTTAAAATCCGACTTCAAATATTGAAGTTATGGACCGGACACAATTTTGCTGCAAGGTCATGCTGTGACCTTGACCTTCAAGGTAGCGACCCAAATGTTAAGCGCGACACATCGTCTCAATATGGTGATTATTTCTGTGAAATAATTTTAAAATCCGACTCCAAATAACAAAGTTATGGGCCGGACACGAATTCGGGGCGTACGGACGGACGGACAACCCGACGACTTTATGCTCCCCCGAAATTTTTAGGCGAGCATAAAAATATCAATCTTCTTAAACAATAATTAAACATGCGTAATCTTTTCTTCACAAAAAATTACAGTTTTTTAACTTCTGATCAATAACGAGGGCACTGTAAAGGAGGAGCAATATACGCCTAAACCAAAATTGTTTGAGTTATCAATAATAATCTTTCAATTAGGAAAAAAAACAAGAGGGCCATGATGGCCCTAGATTGCTCACCTGACTTATCAAACTCATCCAAACAATTACCTAGACAAGCATTCTGACCAAGTCTCATGACAGGTGAGTCAAAAATGTGACCACTACAGTGTTTACAAGGATTATCCATATTTGAGCAGTGCATCCTAGTTTTTTACCCAGGTGACACATATTCAAACTTGACCTAGAAATCATCAAAACAAACTTTCAGACCGATTTCCAGGATACTTGGATCAAAACAGTAGCAACTAGAGTGTTAACAAGATTTTTCTATTTTTAGCTCCGGTGACCTAGTTTTACATGCGATTTCGAACTCATCCAAGCAATTACCTAGACAAGCATCCTGACCAAGTTTGATGATAATTGAGTCGAAAATGTGACCACTAGAATGTTAACAAGGTTGTTCCATATTTGGGCAGTGTGACCTAGTTTTTCATCCAAGATGACCTATGTTCGATCTTGACTTAGAAATCATCAAAACAAACTTTCAGACCAATTAACAGAATATTTGGATCACAACAGTAGCCACTAGAGTGTTAACAAGATTTTTCTATTTTTAGCTCCGGTGACCTAGTTTTTCATCCAAGATGTCCCATGTTCGATCTATTCCCAGCAATGACCTAGACAAGTTTCCTGACCAAGTTTGATGACAATTGAGTCAAAATTGTGACCACTAGAGTGTTAACAAGGTTTTTCTATTTTTAGCTCCTGTGACCTAGTTTTTCATCCGAGATGACCCATGTTCGAACTCATCCAAGCAATTGACTGGACAAGCATTCTGACCAAGTTTGATGATGATTGGTTCAAAAATGTGACCACTAGAGTGTTCACAAGGTTTTTCTATTTATAGCTCCTGTGACCTACTTTTTCATCAGAGATGACCCATGTTCAAACTCATTCAAGCTATCAACTAGATAAGCATCCTGACCAAGTTTGATGATGATTGATGCAAAAATGTGACCGCTAGAGTGTTAACAAGGTTTTTCTATTTATAGCTCCGGTGACCTAGTTTTTCATCCGAGATGACCCATATTCGAACTCATTCCGAGCTTTTATCTAAACAAGCATCCTGACAAAGTTTGATGATGATTGGGTCAAAAATGTGACCACTAGAGTGTTCACAAGGTTTTTCTATTTTTAGCTCCTGTGACCTAGTTTTTCATCAGAGATGACCCATGTTAAAACTCATCCAAGCAATTGACTGGACAAGCATTCTGACCAAGTTTGATGATGATTGGTTAAAAAATGTGACCACTAGAGTGTTCACAAGGTTTTTCTATTTTTAGCTCTTGTGACCTAGTTTTTCATCCGAGATGACCCATGTTCGAACTCATCCGAGCTTTCAACTAGATAAGCATCCTGACCAAGTTTGATGATGATTGAGGCAAAAATGCGACCGCTAGAGTGTTCACAAGCAATTGTGGACGTACGACGGACATTCACCGATCCTAAAAGCTCACCCTGAGCAAACTCAGGTGAGCTAAAAAAAAACATTTAAAAAACTTCACCAAAAGATTCTTACCTAAATTATTCTTTTAATACTAAATTAAGTGGAAGCATCTTAACCCTTGCTGCATGATTCATAAAACATTTATACAGGTCTGCTAGGCCATACTACATACCAAATATGTAAGCTCTGAGCACTGTAGTTTTCAACAAACAGATTTGATGTGTTTTCTAATACATCAATCTACATAAGGCATGGTGACCTCCAGGCCAGAGACAATATTGACCTCAGGGTTATGGTAAAGAAGACCATGGGCTTTTACAGTATAGGAATAAATAATTACAAGATATGTTAAAATACTAATTAACTAGAACTCCGCGAGTCAGATGTGTCGCCTTGTGAACAATGTAGTTTATGGGAAATGGCCAGGACAAAAATGAAATATGAAAAATAACAAAGGGCAATAACTAAAAAAATAATACGTGCAGAGCAGCAGTTTCTGTACACTGCACTTCTTATCAAATTCTATGATGTTTCAAGTCCATAGCTTTCATACTTGAGGAGAAATGACCAGGACAAAAATAAAGTAAGAAAATCAACAAAGGGCAATAACTCAAAAATAAGAAATGCAGAGTATCAGTTCTTATGCACTGCACTTCTTTTTAATGAGATCTATCATCCTATGAAGTTTCAAGTCCATAACTTTTATACTTTCGGAGAAATGGCCTGGACAAAAATTAAGTATGAAAATTAACAAAGGGCCATAACTCAAAAATTAAGAAATGCAGAGTACAGATTCTTGTGCACTGCACTTCTTAATAATGAGATCTATCATCCTATGAAGTTTCAAGTCCATAGCTTTTATACTTAAGGAGAAATGGCCCGGACAAATTTAAAGTATGAAAATAAACAAAGGGCAATAACTCAAAAAATAAGAAATGCAGAGTACCAGTTCTTGTGCACTGCACTTCTTCTTAATGAGACCTATCATCCTATGAAGTTTCAAGTCCATGGCTTTTATACATTAGGAGAAATGGCCTTACAAAAATAAAGTATGAAAATTAACAAAGGGCAATAACTCAAAAATTAGGAAAAACAGAGTACTGGTTCTTGTGCACTGCATTTCTTCTTAATGAGATCTATCATCCTATGAAGTTTCAAGTCCATAGCTTTTTTAGTTGAAGAGAAATGGCCCGGACAAAATTAAAGTATAAAAATTAACAAAGGGCAATAACTCCAAAAATAAGAACTGCAGAGTACCGGTCCTTGTGCACTGCACTTCGGGTTATTGAAAGAAGCATGCATACCAAGTTTGAAGTCAATCAGACTTATAGTGACTGAGTTATGCTCCGGACAAGCTTTAGGGGACGCCGACAACGACGCCGACACAGACGCCGCCGCCGACACCGCCGACAAAAGTAACCCCTATATGTCACCTTTTCAAGGCGACACAAAAACTGACTCCAAGAGGTACAGACTGAAGTGGTACACCGGGGTACAGACTGAAGTTTAATCAAAAGCATTCAACTAACTTTATTTAAATTCTTAGATATAAATATCTTTTTGTAATCAGCTTCTTTTTTTTCTTTTTCATTTCTTTATCTGGTTTTTAAACTAATTTTAACACATATTTGATCATATCTTGGCAATCAGTTTGACTCACAAGCTTTCCTGGATAACTAAACAGTCTATCTAAAAGATGTCTTAGTTATTTGCTAAATGAAAACCAACCATTAATCGTTTTCTTATCTTCTTTTCAATTTGTGTCATTAAATCATCTTCTGGACATGCCTCTACAGATGGCTTTTTACCCGTAAGTAGTTCTCTCATAACTGAAAATACCAAAGCATTAACAATATATTAGATTAACAGGAATAAATGCTTAAATACAAAAACTTTCTATAATCTGTGGAGGACAATCAATTTTGAAAATAGAATTTGAATTTTTTTTCCCGCTAATTTGATAAAACAAGAAGGCATTGATGGCCCTGAAATTTCTCACCTGTATATAGGCCCCCGGACGGGCCAATTTTAACCCAAAGCTTTTTATTTGAACAAACTTGGTAGACACAAATAAGAAGATGTTTCATGCTAAATATCTAAGCTCTAGACATTTGGGTTTTTTAAAAGAAGATTTTTTAAGTTTTAATATACACATAGGGAAAAAAAATGGCCTTCCCTTCTCTCCCCCCGGCAGGGCCAATTTTAACCCAACAGCTTTTATTTGAACAAACTTGGTAGACACCCATTAGAAGATGTTTCATGCTAAATATCTAAGCTGTACCTCTCTGAGTTTTTAAAAGAAGATTTTAAGTTTTAACTACATACATATAGGGAAAAACAACGACCCCCTGGGGCAGGGCCAATTTTGACCCCAGGGCATTTATTTGAACAAACATGGTAGAGACTCGCTAGAAGATGTTTCATGCCAAATATCTTAACTCTAACTTTTTGGGTTTTTTAAAAGAAGATTTTTTACGGTTTTTCTGGCAACCAGAGTTCTGCATGGAATTAAATTCTTTGAACAAATTTTAAAGATGACCACCAAAGGAACATTCCTGTGAAGTTTGGATGAAATCGGCTCAGTGATTTATGAAAAGAAGTCGTTAAAATTAAAAGTTTACAGATGCCGTGACCGGACGAAAAGGGATCACAAAAGCTCACTTTAAGACAGGTGAGCTAAAAACAACAGAACCACTGACCCTGGTGCCATGAATTTCACAATTTTTGGAGAAGACAGCCTCTCTCAGGGGCCATGAAATTTCACAATTTTTGTTCCCCTTTACCTATAGATACTTTATGCCAAAATTGATTGAAATTGGTTCAGTGGTTCTCAGGTGACCTCATAAAAAATCTAACAAGAAAAAAGTTGATTTGTGCTATAATTTCATTATTATTTCAAACTACATGCATAAAGAAAAGTTCCTCTTTTACAGTTAAAATGCCAACATAAGTCACTATTACCTTATAATTACCTAAGTCACCAAAAAAATCTTCTCAAATGGCAATGGTACGAGTTTGGCAGGTCAACTACTGGTTTTGTAAAATGTATAAAGCACTTACCTACGCCAAAATAACGGTAATCATCAAGTCTATCAATGATCTGTTGCTTTGTTAATTTTCCATAGCCAGGGTGGCATAATAACGTGTAGTTTTTGTATTGTCAACGCCAAATTTCATTTCACGTGCAAGGCCAAAATCAATTATTCTTGCGTTCAGAAATTCATCTAGCACAATATTTAAGGATTTAACATCTCTGTGAAATATCATTCCTCTGTAAATAAATAATGCATTATAGTAAAACTGATGAAAATGAATTTTCCAACACTTTATAAACATACACTAAAAACTTGATAATAAGCTACAGCTCATTATTACTTTTAGTAAAAGATTGTTACCTTATTTCCAAGGTCAGAATGTAACACAGTCTCACAAGCTTATTTCTGAAGGCATTTTATAAACATAGATTAAGTCTGTATTTGGTAGCCGGCACACAAGTTTTTACGGGTATAAGCTATGATATAAATTAACATTCCTGTATTATGCTTAAATGGAATCTGGACAATTCCCTTCCTGGACGATTCCCCTCTCATTTATTCTTGACAACCCGGACAATTCCCCTCCCATTATTTTAATAGGGTGAACAATTCTACTCCCTTTGTTTTTCAGCCTGCACAATTCCCCTTTCGTATCTTTCGTGGACAAAGCCCCTTCCTTTTTTACTTAGGAAATAGATATCAATTCTGAGTGCATTGTTGTAGAATAATGCACAGTTTGAGTTCAAATGCATAGTAATATAATCACAAAGGCAGATTATAGGCCTGAGTGATTAATTACACTACATTTGAACAAAAAACGTGCATTATTATACAATAATGCACGCAGAATTAATATCTATTTCCATTCTAACATGTCAAGAAAAGATATAATTATTATTATAAAGTTGGACTTAATGTTTTGTTGGTTTTTGTTTTCGCCTCAGAGTTTCCAATAGAAACGTTCTTAAAAGGCTGTTCCAGTGGGTTGAAAAAAAAAATGCGTTAAATCTACCGTGTGTAGAAGCATTTTGAGAATAATGAATTTTAAAAGCGTTGATTAAAAACTTTTTTTATTTTTTTATTTCAATCTGTATTTTTTCAAGCGAAAAACAAATTATCAAAAGTGAAATAAATGTTAATCTTAACTCGTTTGCGACATTAAAATAGCGTACTTGATTTGATTGTTTTGCACGTGCTGTTTGGCGCTACATTGTGACGTCACATAAACAACAATTTAAACATCTGTACAGCGTTAACCACTGAATTAAAGATATTGGTGTTCGAATTCATTTTCTAAGTTAGAACATTTTCTTTCATTCAAGATAGTTTTCACAACAAAATTCGACAAAAAATGTTTTTATTATCAGATTTTTCAAACAAAATGGGGCCCTCAATAAGAAAATACACAGGGAGATAATAAGAACGGCGAGTGCATGGTTGTAGAATAATGCAATGCTTCCGTCCTTCTTTGTTTATATAGAAAAATTTCCGATAGTGTTAGAATATATAATTAATTTAAAAGTTGTAATGAAAAAAGAACTGAAGTGATTAAATAAATGATACTTTTATATCATATCTTATCCTGAGTAAAACAATAACTATTACTCCATCTTCTGTATTTCAGAGTTATTTGTTCCCTTTGTTCCTTTTCTTTGTCGGATGCATAACTTAGAAACTTATGTTTGGAATTCAAAGCAACTTCATACAATGGTCAAGCATTATGAAAGGAAGTGCAAATAGAGACAGTTTAGTGTATCTTATTGTTAAATTCTCTCCTCCAGGGATGGAAATCAGAATTGCTTCATAACATTTACAAGAAAAGGGTTTCTTTTTTTCTAATATTTTTCTATTGAAGTGACTGATATTAAACTAGAACTATCGCTGAATGCGATTCATACCCCCACCAATGTAAATATATATTGTCAAATCATGTTCAAAACAGTTACAAATCCAATGTTCTAAAACAAACAAAAGCAATGGAGTTAAGAACATAGCATAATTATGTTAAAATGTAATTAAGAGTGGAAAAACTTTGCATACTGAGCTTACCTGTGACCCTTACATAACTAATGTGTCATAATGTGTCATAATTCAATGGAATTGTAGAATTTTCGTCATCTGAGTTTGCTTTTAACAATTCATATAAATTTTAAGTTTCAAGTAAATATCTGTTCTAGTTTAAGAAATATCATAGTAAATAAATTTAAAGACATAAAAATGGACTTAACTTTGTCAAAATACAATACAAAGTTATCCCCCCCACACTTTTTTTAGTTATGAAACTTGACCTGCATATCTTACTTGCGACACTTTGCATATACAGTCGAGACAGCCTTAGCGACCCCCTGATTTCAACGACTCCCTGTCTTATCCGACCTTGTTTCAGTACTCCCAACGTATTTTTCTATATAAATGGTCTGAATTAAACGACTCCGTCATATGTGACAAGTGACCCTAATTGTCTGGTCCCATTGCAATGTTTTGTCTGATTTAAATGACTTTTACACCTTTTATTTGTCCGTTAATCAGATAAATAATACCTATTTTAACAGCCAGAGGGCCAAAATAATTAAGTCCAATTATAATCCAGTAGCAAACAAACTCTACACACCTAGGCTCTATTACACAGTTAACATGTATACAGGTATCGAGTGACGTAGCGTCTGTTCCCTAGTGCCAAATATGGTAAGCATGCTGCAATCGCTGTGTGTGTAATGTACATAATGATACGAGTAAACTGGATTAAGACTTATGTCAGATTTTTTTTTTTTATAAATTATAGAGTGCCAACGGAAGATTTTTTTAAGGCAGCATTTTTTTTAATTTACCTTTATATGGCTGCATAATTAATACGGAAAAAATATTGATACCAAACCAGAAAAAGCTTTGGATATAGATATTGTTTAACTTTTACAAGTATGATATTTATTTCAATGATTTGAATGCATCAAATTCCAGTTTATTTTATACTACAGTGGAGCCTTGCTAATCCGAACCCTTCTAATCCGGAATCCTTTCTTATCCGAACGAAGTGCCCGGTCCCGATTTTATTCGTTCTATTTTCAATAGTTAAAAACCTTTCGGATCCGGAACCTGTCTACTTCGAATTCCGGACGATTTTTTTAATTTTTGTTCTTATTTTACTATAAAATTTACCTCTCGGATCCGAACAGATTTTGCCAAATGTCACACCTTCATTCAAAATAACAAATAATCGCACATCTTTCAGGTGTAAACATTCACCAAACTGATAAGTGTTATTTCGCTTAATGGGTGAAACGTATGTTCTGTGAAGGTGTGAAAATTACACTTATATTGCCTTGATATCTTCTATAATTGCTTAATTGATTGTTTTTCGTCAGCTTCTATAAATATTTTGATATAGTTCAAAAGAAATATCTTTTAATCCTTTGTAATGGATTTAATGATACGTGATTAAGTAATGAAAATTAATGGAAACTGTCAGTGAATTCGGATAGTCGCTGATTCGGATATGAGTAAACAACAATTGACAAATGCTGGTACGAATATTCAATCATGTCTCGGCCTCCTGTTTAACATCGTAGGTTAACTTACGCTTGAGGACATAATATTTTTGCTTATTTATTTATATTTATTTCTTTATTTTTGTATTCACATGTATTAAAATGAACGATAAAAGACTGCAAAATTAAAATATCTAAATTGCAATTTCAAATGCATTCCCGTTTTCTTTCCTTACACTATTTTGCAAATAACATGAAAAAACATGTAAAAAAAACCTTCTAATTCGGAAACCTTTCTGATCCGGAAACCTTTCTAATCCGAACTTTTCTTCTGGTCCGGACGAGTTCGGATTAGACAGGTTCCACTGTATAAAGATTCAATTTAAATCTTAATACAAAAAATAAAATTAAATTTTATATGATATACATGCGAATATATTTGTTTTACATGGATTCTTATTTATTTTATTTACATCAAACATTTTAAGAATACCTATGTTTATTTGCAATTGGTTAAATATTATTCCTTCACACAGTTAAGTCACAATGGTATATAGACAGATAGATGGTATTTAAATTTAATTTTCTTGAGACTGTATTAAGAGACTCCCTGTCATATGTGATCTTTTTCTGAAGATCCCTTGGAAAGTCACATATGACAGTCTCGACTGTATTTGAAGTTTCAAATGATTTAGAAATATTCAAGTACATATTAAAATTTCAGAACATTTTCTAAGTCAATTTTTGACCTTTAAGTGTAACCTTGACCTTAAGCTGGCACAAAGGTAAGATGGGATCTGCACATAACCTTGTTGAGATGAACATTTGAGTAAAGTTTGAAGAAAATTCTTCCCATTAGTATAGAATTTATAGAGTGGACACAACATATTGTCTAGTATTGATTGTATGTAAATTTAAAGACTTAAAAAGGGGCATAACTTTGTCAAAATGCAATACAGAGTTATAAAACTTGACCTGCACATCTTACTTGTGACACCTCATATACCTTTTAAGTTCAAAGCAAATACATGTGCTAGTTTCAGAAAAATTCAAGTACATGTTAAAATTTCAGAACATTTTCTAAGTCAATTTTTGACCTTCAAGTGTGACCTTGACCTTAAGCTGGCACAAAGGTAAGATGGGATCTGCACATAACCTTGTTGAGATGAACATTTGAGTAAAGTTTGAAGAAAATTCTTCCCATTAGTATAGAATTTATAGAGCTGACACAACCTATTATCTAATATTTGATTGTATGTAAATTTGAAGACTTAACTAGAACTATCACTTAATGTGATTAATACCCCCACAAGACTGCTTCAGAAATGAGGATGTTACTAGTAACAGGATACCTTGTAAAAGAATTGAAATATAGAGTTATGGTTGTGGGCAATTAAAGATAGTTGTGGTTCTTGTATTTTCTCATTTCCTTTCAATGTGGTTGGCCATTGATGAAGTTTTATTGAATTACTCTGTAATAAGTCCAGAAAGACAAGGAAAAGAAACAAAGGGCAATAACTCTATAAATACTGAAGATGGAGTTATATCTCTTGTGCACTGCACTTCCTTTTATTGTGCTTGACCATTGTATGAAGTTGTTTTGAATTCCAACCAGTACGTTTTAAGTTATGCTCCAGACAAGGAAAAGTATCAAAGGGCAGTAACTCTGTATTTTGTCAAAATGGAGTTATGGTTCTTGTGCACTGCACTTCCTTTTAATGTCCTTGACAACTGTATGAAGTGGTATTGAATTTCAAACAGTAGTTTTCAAATTATGCTCTGGACAAGGAAAAGTAACAAAGGGCAATTACTCTGTAATTAGTCAAGATAGAGTTATAGTTCTTGTGCACTGCACTTCCTCTCAATGTGCTTGACCATTGTATGAAGTAATATTGAATTCCAACTATTAGTCTTCAAGTTATGCTCCGGACAAAAAAAGCAATGGAAAAGTAACAAAGGGCAATAACTCTGTAATTAGTCAAGATGGAGTTATAGTTCTTGTGCACTGCACTTCCCCTTATTGTGCTTGACCATTGTATGAAGTTGTTTTGAATTCCAACCAGTAGTTTTCAAGTCATGCTCTGGACAAGGAAAAGTAACAAAGGGCAGTAACTCTGTAATAAGTCAAGATGGAGTTATGGTTTTTGTGCACTGCACTTCCTCTCAATGAGCTTGACCATAGTATTAAGTTATAATGAATTCCAACAATTAGTCTTCAAGTTATGGTCCGGACAAAAGAAAGCAATGGAAAAGTAACAAAGGGCAATAACTCTGTAATTAGTCAAGATGGAGTTATGGTTCTTGTGCACTGCACTTTCTCTCAATGTGCTTGACCATTGTATGTAGTTATATTGAATTCCAACCATTAGTCTTCAAGTTATGGTCCGGAAAAAAGAAAGGAATGGAAAAGTAACAAAGGGCAATAACTCTGTAATTACTTTAGATAGAGTTATGGTTCTTGTGCACTGCACTTCCCCTTATTGTGTTTGACAATTGTATGAAGTTGTTTTGAATTCCAACCAGTAGTTTTCAAGTTATGCCCCTGACAAAGAAAAGTAACAAAGGGCAATAACTCTGTAATTAGTCAAGATAGAGTTATGGTTCTTGTGCACTGCACTTCCTCTCAATGTGCTTGACCATTGTGTGTAGTTATATTGAATTCCAATCATTAGTCTTCAAGTTATGCTCCGGACAAGGAAAATGCAACGGACGTCTGGACCGACCGACCGACCGACCGCACGCCCGACCGACCGACCACCGGGTGACTCCTATATACCCCCCCAAACTTCATTTTTGGGGGTATAAAAAGGGGAATAACTTTGTCCAAATGCAATACAGAATTATGAAACTTGACCTACATATCTTAATTGTGACACTTCATATATATTTTAGGTTTCAAGCAAATACCTTTTCGGGGCGTCCGTGGCCGAGTGGTTAAGATCGTTTACTTCAAACCACTTGCCCCTCACCGCTGTGGGTTCGAATCCCCACAGGGATTTTGGATTCTTTCATGTGAGGAAGCTATCCAGCTAACTTACGGAACGTTGGTGGTTCTACTCAGGTGCCCGTTCGTGCCTGAAATAATGCATGGAAGGGCACCTGAGGTCTTCCTCCACCAGTAAAGCTGGAACGTCGCGATATGACCTATACTGTGTCGATGTGACGTAAAAACCCAAAACAAACAAAAACAAACAAAAAATACCTTTTCTAGTTTCAGAAATATTCAAATACATGTTAAAATTTAAGAATATTCTCTAAGTCAATTTTTGACCTTCAAGTGTGACTTTGACCTTAAAGCCAAGATCGAAGAAAATCTTTAGTTTAGGACTTACAGATACTGTCTAATATTTGATTGTTTGATATTTGACCTATAATTGTGACCTTGACCTTGAGCTGACACATGGGCAACATGGGTACTGCACATCCCCTTCTTGAGGTGAACATTTGAGCCAAATTTGAAGAAAATCTTTCAATTAGTGTGGGACTTACAGAGCGGACACGGCATACTGTTTAATATTTGATTGTTTGATATTTGACCTTCAATTGTGACCTTGACCTTGAGCTGACACATGGGCAACATGGGTACTGCACATCCCCTTTTTGAGGTGAACATTTGAGCCAAATTTGAAGAAAATCTTTTAATTAGTGTAGGACTTACAGAGCGGACACGACATACTGTTTAATATTTGATTGTTTGATATTTGACCTTCAATTGTGACCTTGACCTTGAGCTGACACATGGGCAACATGGGTTCTGCAAATCCCCTTGTTGAGGTGAACATTTGAGCTAAGCTTGAAGAAAATCTTTTAATTAGTGTAGGACTAACAGAGCAGACACGACATACTGTCTAATATTTGATTGTTTGATATTTGACCTTCAATTGGTGACTTTGACCTTGAGCTGACACATGGGCAACATGGGTTCTGCACATCCCCTTGTTGAGGTGAACATTTGAGCCAAGGTTGAAGAAAATCCTTCAATTGCTATAGGATACATTCAAGTTTCAAGTTAAAGACAATCTATTTAAAAATAACAAAGTTTCAGCCACTTATAGCAAAATTCAAGCAAAAAGTAAAATTTAGACATTCAAGCTTCATGTTTTGCCCCAGGAACAGACACTTGTAAAGAGACCATGATGATGATAATTATTCAATATAGAGAAGTAGCGTCTTACTTTCCTATTAAGTATTGTGTCCAGATTTTACTTACTTTAACAAAAATATATAAGTTAGGACAGAGATATTTAATTTAGCCCTTACCTGATCTCAGGAATCGCTGTGTGTAGAAAGTCTATAGCTGAAGCTATCTGGAACATATTCCTTAATCTTTGGAATGCATCTAGCTTTGGTGGTTTACCACTGGCAATCCACTTGTTGTCCTCTTCAATGGCATGATTTAGATTTCCATTTACCATAAACGGGGAAAGAAAATAAAAGTTACTGAAATAGAAAATAAAGATTGTGCATATGATACAAGTCATAGTATCTTAAAGGCCTGAAACAAAAGATTGCCAATTTGTGACAAATACACTCATCATAAAAGCTCAGTCTCACAAAAAAAAAATCCACAATTCATGATAACTTAATAATCAATATTAACATTATTTGATAATATCTAATCATACCTTTGACATTTGCATGTGACCTTGACCCTTGCCAGAATTTGTAGAAGTTGGCTCTGGACAAACAATAAACTATTTTTTGTATGTCCTTGATGTTTAATCTAGAGACCTGCATCATGTACACAACTTAGTCTCATGGTGGTGAAAATTTGTGTCAATGAATACTAAAATTCCTCAATGCAATGTATATGATTATTATTCACCAAACAAACCATAATGCCGCTTATATGTTGCCTGCCCATCAGGGATGATGCCATAATATTTTTCACATTTTTATTTCTATTGTCGTATGGTATAATAATAAAACAAAATAGAAAATTAAATACTTTGAATTCTCCTGTATCCCAAACAGAGGAACAATCCCATAATGCATTGCTCTGGCACACAGTTTTTCCTGAAATAGATAATATGATAATCTGATTTGTAGGTACAATAATCAATTCTCACGTTTGCCTTTTGTAAACATTAACTTTCACCAGTTAAAAATAGTCAGTAAAACAGTAAAAAAAAGTTTACTGGTAAAAAAAAATTTACTGTCTCTGCCATAGATTGAAATTTTGTAATGATTTAACATCAAGTTAATGTTTTAAGTTGCATTTGCAACTGAAAATCATTCAGGCTTTAGAACTTGTTTAAAGTAAGAGAAAAGACAAGAAGATTTAAAGATACTGCTAAACTTTGTTCGCTTAAACTCGGATCCCTCGAATACCTTCTTTTGAACTCATCGCCCAGTTCCAGAAAAATTCTTTTTTAATATGTATTGTTTTACAACTCGGATCGCTCAAACACCTATGGTCTGAACTCTTGAACCTGATCTATGATCCTTTGGCAGAAATATTGTGAAAATCACACAAAAAGACAAAAAAAGTTGTGGGTCGACAGTTCTGAATTAGAGACAGTTGGCGTCACATCGTGATCGTGATAAAGACAATTAAGGTTAATTGATACAAAATTAGGTGTTGTTTGTTATGATAATATTGTTCATTTGCCATCTTTAGTATCAATACAATTAAAATATATTGAGAAGTAAGTTAAATGTGCAAAAGTCAATAAATGACGTTTCCCTGGCAAACGTTCATACACAGCTTCTTGGTTCATGTAACATGACTATTGTAACCATTTTGTTGCTTAATTTATCTACTGGTTTTATAGAATGATACTTGTACGTGTTTATTTTAGTAAATCATTAGACTACAAATAGATGCTGCTGAAAATTATTTTTTTTAAAAATTATCCATGAATTCATGTTTAAACTAACACTGACCTCATTGAAAATTTTGAAAGTGTGAAGAATTGTTAAAACCAGAGAGCCATAATGGCTTTCTCAGATTGGTCACTCGAGATTCTTGACTTAGAAAAATTCAAAGTTATTCAATGCAGAAATAAGTCGTTGAGTCAACCTTCATTAGGACAGGAACACTTTTAACTATCAAACCAAGCCAATTATGACCTGAGGGCCCATGGTTTACGGAACTTTTGTAAAAAGCTAGAAGATGTTGCTACATAACAAATATCTATATACTATGTACACAAAAGCATATTGCCCAGATATATTTTGGAACTAATCAAACTCTAGTAAAAACATAATTTATGAAACATACGCTTGTGAGGGATCTCAGTTTTTGCACTTTTAAATCTTTATCGTTCCTATCTGGTCCATCACTCTCTATCGCCACTTTTTTCAAAACCAGTTGCATATCAATCCCTGGAACCTTTTCTCTTGCTAAAAAAAAGGAGACAACTACTTTAAAGCAACCTTGAAATCTTAAAAAAAATGGTAAAACTCATCACAACTTGTTTCAAAGTACCTTATATCACATATCACTACGACACTGGAGTGTAATAAAGCCATTTAATGAAAACAATATTTCACTAGTGTTGTAACACTTTGATGTGACATCATTTGCGTTACATACAAATATAGTGTTAAAGCGCGCTAATGTTAGCCTTATTAAGTGTGACCTTGACCTTTAAATTGATATAGCACTATTATGTCCAACACATTAATGCATTTTGACCTTTGAGCTACAGACCTAAATCACACTAAGATTCATTGTCCCAATGTGCTACCTATTTATACAAAATAGCTTTAAAAAATCTTTTCATAAATGACAAAATCAAGGACCAGTGAGACCCCAAGTTGGGACAGACGAATGGAAGGACGGACACTATAATAACTATATGCCTCCAAATCAAACAAAATATCTGTGGCAGTATTTAGAATAAAAATACTTACATACATAAATTTCTCCAAATCCTCCTTTGAGACCAGGCTTCTTATCAGATAGTTCAAGTAAATCTTTCACATTTTGTTCATTTAAATTCTTGAGCCTTCCTTTTGGTTCATCATCACAATCAAAAATCTTTTTCACTCTTTCATTTCTTTCTTCAATGATTCTGACTGTAGTATCATGTTTCCGAGAAGCTAATGGTCTTGAATTTAATTCTACTACCACATTTGGATCCGGAAGTGGAGTCGCGTCTGTATCATCATTACCTTTCTTCTGTTTGATTTGAGTCTCTATTTTATTAACTTCCTTTTTAATGATATCTAAAGAGGAATTTAGCATTTTATCAGGGTCTTCTTTTCCAGCATTTGCTACAACTAATGGAGAAGATGTTGCCCCTCCAGTTGGACGTGCTGGTGTAAAAGTGGCTTGCTGTTGACGTAAATTCTGAGCAATTTCTCTTTCCAAAGAATGTCTACGACCTGCATCCGTCTCATCCATGCGCATGCCTCCTATATCGTTCTGATTCCCAAGTGCATTATCATTTTCTTCATCTTTTTGGTTGTTTTTTGAATCTGACACTAAATAATTGCCACTCACATCAGCCTGTATTCCCCCATAAGCACCATCATCATCTTTTTCATCTTTTTTCTTGTCTTTAAAATCACTTCCACCCGAATCATTTTTTATTCCTGTTGGTAACTGACTTGGCTGATCAGACACAAATTGTTCTGATTGCCTTTCTGATGAACTCTCTCCATCAGAATCAGAGCCAACTTCATCATAACGATGATTTTTCTTTACTTCACCATGTTGTACTTGATAAATCTGAGATTCGATAGGAGGAATTTGTTGGAAACTTTTGTAAGTTGGATCAAGGACTTCTTTGTCACTTGTTAGCCCTTTATCCCCAACATTTACCCCTGGATCCATAAGCATGTCCTTTCTGGGGAAACTTTTCCCAGATAAATCAGGACCATATTCATTACTATACAACTCTCCTGTTCTGCGAGTCGTGCCAAGTTCTCCTTGCATTGCCTCCAAGCTTGGATTATACTTTAGATTTGGCTGATTTTTGTCAGGATCACTTTCTACAGTTACTTTTGTAGAGACATCTTTTGGCTTAGACCCATGTTCTTTTGAAGTTGGAGCAATGTCTAATTTGCTCAAAAGCATTTCAGTTTCCCTTTCTGCGAATGTCTGCTTTTCTTCTGATGTATTTCTTGCCTTCCCTTCATCAACTTTCCTATCATTAATAAGATTCAGTAAGTATTGTGTATTTGTAAAAGCATTGAGAAGAGCTACAATTACTTTCATTTAATAGTAAGCACACATTAGGTTGATGACTTCTACATTACATTACAATTGCATAATGAAAATTGATCAAATTATGATAACTCTTGAACTAACATTTCAATCACATCTGATTGCATTCAAAGTAGTGCACAGATAATGCAAATCAGAACAAACACTGACACATCTTTTTACATACAATCATGAGGACAGTTAGAAAACATGATGACTATGTATTTCAAAATAACCAGGGAAGCCAAATTCAATTGTCCCTATTGCTCAGGTTGTCCAACAGCCTGTATGGACAAATAAAATATTCAAAGAGTTCACTTTATAATACAATGACCATGGTTATCTTATAAAAGATGATATAACTATCATATGAACAAGTAAACAAGAGCCAGTGCCTAGCAGGGCAAAACTCCTTTTTTTAATTTTAAATGTAAAACATACCAGAAGAAGAATATTGAAGTAAAGAATACTAAAGAAAAAAACTTTTCTTTTACATAATTCAAATTTTATATTTGTCCTTGACAGTCAAGATCGTTCAAAGGTCAAGGTCTTATAAAAAATAAGTCAACATTTCGTTTTTTGTCAAACATGTTTTTCAGTCAAGTAATAAATCAACTATACATAAATATGGTAGACATTTGTGCCAAGTTATTTTAAAATCCTTCAATGCATGACAAAGTTACAGTATTGACAGGTGGGAAAACACAGACAGATGGATGGATGGATGGACAGGTAGATAGTAGCTGACTGGGCATAAAAAATATCTTTTTCCTAAAAAAAAAAGTCAAGCTTAAAATGTTTCAGATAAAACAGACAAGTAAATTAAAATCAGATTTTGCTGACCCTGCATTTACAATTACAAATTTCCTAGTAAGACTGTATATTTGATTACATTTCATCCTCAGTCTTTGAATTTTAACCAAAATAAGCCTACAATGGCAAATGCAAAATACTTTTGCTGCTACACTACCATATTCCTAGAAACTTTTCAGGAAACAATATTTTGTGTTTTTCATATAGATAAATTTTACAGAGATAACTTCTGCGCAGTCCTAGTGCCAGGAATTTCACCGTAACAACAGTAAGTCACTGGGGTAAAGAGCATAATTATATATTGCTTATTCTCTATACCCACAAGACAAGACTAAGGCATACGATATTGTCAAAATCTTTAAATCTGATCTTTAAACAATTTATCTGTAAGACATAAGATATCATTCTGTTGTAATTCTGTGGTATCAGAGAAATGAAAATGTATTTAGCTGACTTGTTTTTTTGCAAATAATGTCAATTGCATTTAAAATCATAAGTCGAGTTAATTAATTATATGATTTATGATTGACCTTACTATCTAACAAGAGGGCCATGATGGCCCCTGAGGTCGCTCACCTTAAAAAGGGCCCCCTCCCACCCCCCCCCCCGGGGGCTTTTATTTGAACATCTTGGTTGACACCCATAAGAAGATGTTTCATGCTAAACATCTTAAGTTCTAGCTCATTGGGTTTTTTAAAAAGAAGATTTTGAAGTTTTTTTACTATACAAACATAATAGTTAAAAACAATGACACCCTTGGGGAGGGGCCAGTTTTTTGACCCAGGGCTTTTATTTTAACAAACTTTGTAGATATTTACTAGAAGATGTTTAATGCTTAATATCTAAACTCTAACTATTTGGGTTTTTTCAAAGAAGATTTCTAAGTTTTTGCTACACATATAAGGAAAATCAATGACCACCGGGGCGGGGCCAATTTTGACCCAAGGGCTTTTATTTGAACAAACTTTGTAGACACTCACTAAAAGGTGTTTCATGCTTTATACCTAAACTCTAGCTATTTGGGTTCTTTAAAAGAAGATTTTTAAGTTTTTACTATATGGATATAGGGAAAATCAATGACCCCCTGGGGCAGGGCCAATTTTGACCCCAAGGCTTTTATTTGAACAAACTTGGTAGACACTCATTAGAAGATGTGTCATGCTAAATATCTTAGCTCTAGCTCTTTGGGTTCTTTAAAAGAAGATTTTTTAAGGTTTTTACTATATGCATATAGGGAAAATCAATGACCCCCTGGGGCGGGGCCAATTTTGATCCCAGGGCTTTTATTTGAACAAACTTGGTAGACACTCACTAGAAGATGTTTCATGCCAAATATCTAAGCTCTAGCTCTTAGGGTTGTTTAAAAGAAGATATTTAAAGATTTTCTTTCAGTTGCCATGGCAACCAGAGTTCTGCATGGAATTTAATTCTTTGAACAATTGTTAAAGGTGACCACCAAAGGAACATTCCTGTGAAGTTTGGATGAAATTGGCTTAGTGGTTTATGAGGAGATGTCATTTAAAGCAAAAGTTTTTGGACGGACGGACGACGGACGGACGAAAAGCGATCACAAAAGCTCACCCTGTCATTTTGTGACAGGTGAGCTAAAAACAAATTCTAAACCTTGAATTTTAAAAAAAAAACCAGTTAATTTATGATAATCCTGCTAGACAATTATTTGACATTATACATGTATATAATTTTAGTTTTGCTACAGTAAACATTTCCCTGTGTGTGTTTTTTAAATAAACAGAGATAGTAATTCATTTAAACCTTTCCTTTTTGGCCCAAATTCGTTGACTGTTTTTCTGTAAAAAGACACAAACATAATTTTCAAAGTGCAAACCAAACAAGCAATATGTAAGATTATCAAAATTATAGTATAAAAGAATACATGGAAAACATTGCTGTCTAATTCCCTGGCAGCGGGTCATGATGTATTATTGAAAGAAGTTAGTAATAAATCAATGTAAAGGTACTGTATTCCTAAGAAACTTTTGCGTAAACAATATTCATGCTATTAGGCAAATGTTATGGGTTCCCTGCTTTTAAAGGTAAAGTTTAATAGTTATTTTTTCTTTTATCTTTTTTGGCAGAATTCTTTTATTTAAAAAAAAGTGTGTGTGTGTGTGTAAGGGGGGGGGGGGGGGGGTAGATGCGGGGAATGTAGGCTCAGAAAAGGGCCCTATATGGGGGATTAAAAAGTGGATAACCCTTTGCTGGTTTTGGTGCTGACTATTCTGGAAGGTGATACAACTATTTATATTATTATGTAATCAAATTGGATAGAATATCCCTAATAGAAGCTACAGACTGTGTTAAATGATAATAGATCTGTGAAAAGAAAATTAACGGTTTAAAATTTTCTGATTTTAGCTCTGATAACCATTAAATTGGCCAATTACTTAGATAATTAATAAATTATTTTAATCTACTTTTAACACCAATTTTCACGTGTTTTTGGACAATTCTTGGCAGTCTGTCCACCCAACTGTATTTCCTGGGTAAAAAACCTGTAATTATTGATTTCTCCGCAAGAGACCAATTTTAAATCTACATGATTTCTGAATCAGTGGATTCTTAATAACTGAATAACTGAATAATACTACAATGTCCATTCACTATATTGGCTATCAGTTGTCGTTTTTTTAAATGAGCAGTCAAGAAACTGTTAAAAATCATGATGCAAATCACTTTTCTGTTAAACCTCAGAAAACATGACAAAGAAGTAAATGCCAGGTCGATTTAACCAGAGAATAAGGTACACAGAATTTTAACAACCCATTTTTTCTTCACAAAATCGCTGAATATCAAAGCTTCAGAAAGAATTACTTAAAATTACATTATTATAACAATTATTAACCAAAAATAAACAAGCAATTATCATTGTATTGCAAGCAATCCATAAGTCCCCTACCGGTTAGAACCCCTGCAACATTCTGATGGGCCATTGGCCATTCAATTTTACCAGTGAATGAAAGACATGAATGAACTTAAATCTTTTGAGTTTTAAGTTTGTCTCTATCACAGTAATGTGTTAAGTTTCCCTGCCTAGTAAGGAAATTATGTTTATACAACCTTGTCATATTATTACGATGTGGGATTTTAAACTTAATTCATAGGAATGAAGAAGTTGGAGTGAAAAATACCAATTTTCTCTCGAAAAAAATCTAAGTTCAAGGGGACATAATTCTGGAAATAGTCTTGCTAGAGTATTTAACCTTCTCAAAAATGTTGAGTGATAATAAAGAAACATATATATGAAGTTTTGAAGTAGATAATTAGGAAATAAAGAAGTTATTAAAAAAGACAACATTTTTTTTTTTAATAAAATTCTAATTTCAAGGGAGGTAATACTGATATTTTGTGATAGAGTTGTAAACCTTGTCACTTATGATGTAATTGATGACCAGAAACTTATATTTAAATATTAATGTAAACACCTTAAGAAATAAAGAACTTATAGTGAAAAAGCTTAAAAATTAAATCAGAAATCTTGAAATTCAAGCTATTTGTTGCCATAGCAACCAGAATTTTCAAACATAGGAAGAAAAGAAAAAGAATGTGCATAATCTCCAGACTGCCATCTACCCATGTTACAAGTTTCATAAAAATATTTTCAGTACTTTTTGAGTTATCACTGGATCCAGTTATGTGTTAAATTTGCCATATTTTCAGCTATTTGTTGCCAAATATGCAACCAGAATTTTCAACATAGGAAGAAAAAAAAAGGGACGTGCATAATAATCCATACTGCCATCTATCCATATATCAAGTTTCATAAAAAAATATTTTCAGTACTTTTTTGCGTTATCGCGGGATCCATTTTGTGGACGGACGGGACTGACCGGACGTTCTCCCAGGACAGTAATTATGTGGCTTACTCTATTGTTCTCCTCTATTGTTCTTTTTAGCCACACAAAAGGAAAATAGCCACATAAAAGCATTACGGAATGAATGACATCAAAGAGAAAGAACAGTTACCTATTGTCCCTCTGGCCACATTACTCTCCTGTGAGTGCAGACTGACAGACAGACGGACAGACAGACAGACAGACAGACAGAAGGACGGAGGGTAAACCTAAAGTCCCCTCCGGTTAAACCGGTAGGGGACTAATAAAATAAAAAGATATTTACTTTCAAGACCTTTCCAATTGATATTTACAGCATCCGGAACATTCTTCAGACTCAATAAAAGATTTTTCACTGTAGCTTCAGACCCATTCATTCCACGCCAAACATAAAGCAACCTGTATATTTTCATTATTGTTGTTGAGTTATCCATACATATCTGATCAACAGTAGTAGATGGCACGCCAAGAAAAGGTCCAATCATCTCCCAATTTATTCCAATGTGGGATGAAATGGCTATTAATTCTTTATCATCTGGGATTTCTTCTGAAATACATAAATAGATATCTTTCTCTTACATATAACTTTTACTTGTAGCTGTACGCACCATGCAAATAACTTACAAAGTGCAGCTTCATGAATATATAACGCCTTAGACAATATATGATGGCCATGATAACCTTATCAGTAACAATAAATTGATGCCTAATGTTAAGCTTTGATGCAAAGTTTGGAAAATGGGGAGTAAAATACACTTTGTATTTATACGAGCGTAATAAAAAAATCTGGCAAACGATAGATCCTTCTGAACCAATGAAAAAAACAAAATTATTGATGACAGGGTCTGTTCTGATACCAGTAATGCAAATGTGTAACATCTCTCACACCTTGTAGTGTATATTTTTATGCAATTACCCTAATATGGTCGTATCTTTTCTAAGGGTCACTATGGGTCAGATCACCAGACCCATTCCCAATGGCAAATATTCTTAGTTTTTCCCAATCTTTGAAAAAAAATCCTAATCGACATGAAATTCCCGTTATCTAAACAGACAATTTGCTGATCATTTCAATCCTGTATGTCAGTCCTCTATGTCAGAAATACTTTCAAGGTAGCTCTATTATTACGATACTTATCCAGACACCAATTCTCATTAATTAATTATAAATCAAGTTTCCATAGGCCTTTAACTTTAATACCATAGTCTAACACCACTATTTTTTGTAATCATCTTACATACATACCATACAACCTTACAGCATTTCTTGGTACTTCCAACATGTAATCTGGCTTTTAATTCATTATATTCATATTAAACATTTCTAACAGAAACAGAAACAGAATTCATGAGGTAAAACTATAGCCATCAACAGCCTTAATACAAACTTCATTGTCTGTAAATTGAATATTAAAGAAGAGCTGTTGACAAGACTTTTAACCAAGGGCCTTTAAAATAGACCTGATTATGATTTCTTATACGTGCAGAAGTTTTAACCTATTCAATTCAGTAGTTTTGGACTTGCACATAAAAACTTGTTTGACTAATCAAGCTAAATAATTATTATGCTAATCATAGTTTAGGTGTACATATCTTTCAGTCCTTGTTTTCCATTAAACTTTTACATGAAGAACCCATGTGTCTTTATTGAAGAGTGTCATGGCCAGCAGACTGCTAGTGAGTTTCAAAACTTTGGAAATGAAACAGTTATAAATTTAATTGGAATAAGAACTGACCAGTCAAAATGAAAGACAGTCAGGTTTATTCTAATTCTATTTACCTGTATTAGCCTTTACAGTTGCAGCAGGAACTTGCAACCCACCTTGCTTCCCTTTATCTTCATTTTTCTTCTCAGCCATCAATTTTTTCTCTAAATCTATCTCTTGCCGACCCAAATATTCTGCTAAATGTTCTTGCTTTGACTCTCTCAATAACTTTTTAAATATTCTGTATCCCTTTTCACCCCTTGAGGCAACTTTAGATAATATTTCTCTTGCCCTTGTTGAAGTTAAAGGCAGCTCCTTAAATAGATCAAAGTACTGCTTGCAGTAATTCATATATACTATTTATCTTCTGATGTCCAACACTATTTGATATACCTGTCATTTAAATTTCATAATTAGTTTATGAGTTTTATATGAGTGTGTGTGTGATTTTTTTTTTTTTTACTAACAGGGCAAAGCAACTTCTTCCATCATAATATACCAGGAGCTATCTGTAGCACAGCACGCTTGACTATTCTCAGTTCTTGGTAGTTAAACAACAACCTGGATAATGTAGCAATATCTATGTTCAAAAACGGCCAAAATTCTGTCAAAATCCATGATAGACATCTGAGCCATAACCTATGACCCGTATTGTGCCCTCAAATAAGCGTAAACCAATTCCATTGAGTATTTTGGAGATACCAACATGCATTGCAAATGCTTACCAAATAAACTGATGAAAACCTCAACACCAACTCAATGTCTGGGTAAATACAATAGCTCTCCCTATTCTTCAAATAGCTGAGCTAAAAATCAAGCTCTTGCATAACCAGTACTGGCGGTATTCGAAAAAAATACAGTCATGGACCTTGTAAAATTTGAATATGTAAGTCTATATTGGACACATTACATCATCATAATATTATCAAGCAGAATGTCAGTCTTTATCAGTTTTATAACACAAACACTTTGGAAAGACATACTGACTTACACTAATCTTGAAAAGGGAGGAATTCATTGCCCATGATAAAAATTTGAAAGTCTGAGACTGAGCTCTTTCTATACTGACTTTCATCTTTTTTGATAAGTTAAAAAATCAATTCATTTAAAAGTTGTCTAGCCTTTAAGTAGGAGAAAAATAAAATAAAATTTACTTACTTGAATATCTCTAACTTGACTATATGACAGAAAATCTCTTTCTAAAAGCAAGTCTAATATGGAAGTCGTGTCAAGGTCTTCTACAAATCTTGTTAGGCTTCGGTTCAGTACTCTTTTATAGAAGTTATCATCTGAAAGAACATGCTAAACATCACTCAGACTGGAATAAAATTATCTTTCATTTTTCAAATCTTGCCCTAAAGCTTCTTAAATAAAAGCATATCATTTCATTACTTAGTTATCCTTTATGAAACCACAAAGTGAAACAATCTGCCTTTATGAAGCAGCCTTTATTCAAGTAATGTCACAAAATAGAAGTTAATGCAATACATGTTCTTCCACAATATCTGACAATTTGAAGCTCTTTTTCGTTGTTTTTTTGTCAGTAGACAAAAGCAATGGACTGCTTAAATATTTATCCTTATGATGTTAAACTCTTGCAACACACATGATAAATGAGGGCTTGCCCAGGATGAGGGCACTAATGTATATGTATATTCCTCATAGACTATTATTTTTAGATATATGTCATATTACCAGAACCTACTGGCCACTGGCCAGTTCCATAATCTTTACATCTATCTTTTCATTTATCTTTACCTTTAGCAAAAGACTCCCTGGATGCCATCCTCTTTCTCCCTTGCCTTTCATTAGAACAAAACCATCATCAACTCAAACATCATTCTGTAAATGAAAAAAAATGAATAAGTCTCACAAAGCTTGAGAAGACAATAAGGGGAATTAAAACGTCCTATTGATAATGTACAGGTATCTACTTTTCTTGTCATACAAACTGAATTTCATACCTATTTGCAAACAAGGAAACAAGAGCTGTCGGTAGGACAGCATGCTCGACTATTCTAAGTGCTTGATAGTAAAAAAAATGCCTGATACAGTTACCTCCTCCTGTTTACAGGTTGGGGTCATGATGGTGAACAAGTGTGCAAAGTTTTAAAGCCATATGTCAATGGACTTTGAAAATATTTGAACTATTACAAAAACTTTAACGTAAATTCTAAGTCGAAAAAAGGGGCATAATTCTGTCAAAATGCTTGATAGAGTTACCTCCTCCTGTTTACAGGTTGGGGTCATGATGGTGAACAAGTGTGCAAAGTTTCAAAGCCATATGTCAATGGACTTTGAAAATATTTGAACTATTAAAAAAAACTTTAACGTAAATTCTAAGTCGAAAAAGGGGCATAATTCTGTCAAAATGCTTAATAGAGTTACCTCCTGCTGTCTACAGGTTGGGGTCATGATGTTGAACAAGTGTGCAAAGTTTCAAAGCCATATGTTCTATGGACTTTGAAAATATTTGAACTATTACAAAAACTTTAACGTAAATTCTAAGTCGAAAAGGGGGCATAATTCTGTCAAAATGCTTGATAGAGTTACCTCCTCCTGTCTACAGGTTGGGGTCATGATGGTGAACAAGTGTGCAAAGTTTCAAAGCCATATGTCAATGGACTTTGAAAATATTTGAACTATTACAAAAACTTTAACGTAAATTCTAAGTCGAAAAAGGGGCATAATTCTGTCAAAATACTTGATAGAGTTACCTCCTCCTGTCTACAGGTTGGGGTCATGATGGTGAACAAGTGTGCAAAGTTTCAAAGCCATATGTCAATGGACTTTGAAAATATTTGAACTATTACAAAAACTTTAACGTAAATTCTAAGTCGAAAAAGGGGCATAATTCTGTCAAAATGCTTGATAGAGTTACCTCCTCCTGTCTACAGGTTGGGGTCATGATGGTGAACAAGTGTGCAAAGTTTCAAAGCCATATGTCAATGGACTTTGAAATTATTTGAACTATTACAAAAACTTTAACATAAGTGGTTACGCCGACGCCGACGCCGACGCTCGGGTGACTGCAATAGCTCTACTTATTCTTATCGAATAGTCGAGCTAAAAAGCATTGATATAAGACTTTAAAACAAGAGAGCTATGATGGACTTAATTGTTCACCAGAGGATATTGTCTACATTGACAAGATTTAATTACCACAATATTTCTTGCTCAACAGACTGAAACAATTAAGCAAGTTTTATAAAGCCAAAAGGACTATTTAATGATAATTGCGGTATAGTTTTATCAAAATCTACCAAGTGGTTCACTGATTCCTAAACGTTTCCTTTTTCAAGTGTAAATTTGACATCTGGAAACATTCTATTAGCTAGATCAATGTCAAATTCAAACATTATATTATATGAAATGTATGAAATAAGCAGTTAAATATGCGCCTTTTTTCATTTGGTTGGGTTTAAAATTATGGCAACTTTCCAGCTTTATTGATGGAGCAAGTAATTATTTCAGGCACAAATGGGCACCTGAGTAGAACCACCAACGTTGAGTAAGCTAGCTGCATAGATTCCTCACATGAAAGAATGCAAAGTCCCTGGGCCTGGCAAGATTCAAAACTACAGCAGTGAGGAGCAAGTTGTTTGAAGTCAACGACAATTATCACTCGGCAATGGACGCCCCAGGCTTTTTATTATTAAAGCTGTATGTTTCGATGAGTTTTTTGTATTTCTCTATAAGCTTTGCAAAATCCAACAGGTAATAGTGTAGCACTGTTTATCAAATGATATACATCATGATATATCTGTACAGTGATTTTCCTGCTTAAAAAAACAGACTTAAAAGGCCTGAAATTGAAATTATCTTTGAAATCGTGCACTTTTCCAAAAAATCTGAAATTAAACTTGCTTTTTTACTTCCCAAATTAGCAACTTTAGCAATAATTTTTCCCAAAATCAAGTGGCTAAGGCCTCTTCCCAATTAAGTGAGAAAAATCGCTGGACTGTATCAGTTAGAGGACAAGATGCATAGGGTGAAAGTGGTTTCATGGAAAGTACTGGTTCAAAAACTTATATGACAATGCAGGTTGTGGTTTCCGCGAAATAAATTCATAGGGTTATAAAATCTAATGTATACATGGCATGTCAATTGTCATAATTTATGGTTTTTCAAGCATTTAAAGACAAGACCCTTGAAGATTATTCAACAACAATTTTATTTCTTATTTACTTTTATTATATTTTTTTATATATTTACATAAATACTATACATATAAACTATATATCAATATATAATATATATACATGTATGTATACTAATGTTTATACTAAAACAAAACCTGTAGAAGAACATCCATACATATTAAGGGTAATGTTTGTCAAAAATAATATGTCCTTATCATACATTAAATATTCTACTAATCATAAAGACGTGAAATATAATTTTAATAATATCCAAACTTTTTGATAAACTGTGTACTGTATTTAACAGTTTAACATCATTTATACTTTATTTTCAGTATGGGTCTGCAGTATCCAACCAAAGTTAAATTCTGAGATATATTTATTACGGGTCAGAATCTCGTTTCTACTAGGGAAGATATCATCGCGTAGTACAATCAGTTGGACTAGCAGGGATCATTCTGGTCAGGATTTTTAGTGAGAGATTTTCTCTCATTTGAGAAATTTTAATGAGAGAAATTAGATTTTCTTGAGAGATTTAATTTTCATATGGAAATTTCAAACTTTTTAAAATCACTGTACATATAAACATTGTTTATCTAATGAGAATATAGATGTAGCTCTGTTTATTACAGTGATTTTTGTTTTCACTTTTTTGATTCACCCTATGCCTTTTCATTTGTGAATTTTTAAACATAATAAAATTCTAATTGTGAAAAATAAATAAAACACTTTCATTCTGAAATATAAAAGAATTATACATGGATATCTACTACAACTATTATTTGCAGCCAATGTTCCTAATGGACAACACTGTACTGTACAGAAGTGATTGTTGAGATTTGAAGAATATTTTTTATAACCTTACATTTTGTTTTCTTTATGATTCTCTTCACACACCTCCCTCCATTAAAAAATGTTCATTGAATATGTGACCTGAACATATAATGACAAATATCTCCATATCCACAAATATAAACAATACCTAAAGTAATTTTTATTCATAAACATCATTTTTAGTGTTATAAAACACCTTTGAATAACACTCAGCTTCCTTTTAGTATTTTTTTTTTTAATCACGACATCGCGAAAATATGTGACAAATGAATATTTGTCTGTTTTCCGCTGAAACATTCACAATTCTAGCTGTTGCTGATTGCAATTATATAAAATTAAATACTTTTGTTCAATAAAAGAATATTTATTATCGACTATTTGATTTCAGGACTTTACACCTCCTGGACGTTTCACCTTTGGTCTTTACACCTCCTAGACGTTTCGGCTACTTTTTTATATATAGTATTGTATACTGTATGGATTAAAGGGACTCCACTGAGGTTTAAAAGCCCAAAAACATAACATTTGAATTTCTTACATAAATGAGTTGGGGCTCTTTAGACAGAAATATATGCAAAAGATAGTTAAGAAATATACTTTGAAATAATTGAAAATCGTATGTATATGCTTTTCTTAGTCCGATTTGAGTGAAAAGCGTTTAAACCCTTTTCATTTTAGGTCATTTATTTACAATGTGAATAATTATTCTGAAAAAACAAAGTGCGCAAATGATCTGAAATTTTGCACAAAGATTAGAGGTCTAAACCTACATCAAATGGTAATTTTTCTCACCCTGTGACATTTGGCACCCAAAGAGGGTCACCGTGACTGAATACGGATCAGAGTTAAATTCACATTGCTCTGTAACTCTGTGAAATTTGAGGACGAATTTCAATAAAGCAGGGGAGTATGTCACGGTTCAGAACTGTTCACTATATAGGGGAGAAAATGTGTAAGCGGCCGGATAGCTCAATCGGTAGAGCCGCCATACGGTATTCCGAGGGTCCCGGAAATATTGTAAAAACCTAAGGTAGCATATATTATAGATCTTGGATGACACATTGCTGCCACCTCCTGTCTTTTTAGTGTCTATTAGTGTGTGACGTGTTAACAAGAAACATGGCAATTATACCACAAAATCAGGCAATTATCACTATTGAAAGTTTTGTTCTAGTTGGAATACAAATACAAGCAATGTACAATGTAACTATTGGTGGTATAAATTATGTGTAATGAAGAAATAAAATAAATAAGCAAGCATTCTGTTCTGTAAACCCATAAACTTATTTTACACGATTTAGTTTGAGACATTTCTTTCCTTAAAGGGACTCCACTGAGGTTTTTTGACATGGTGGGACTGAAAATATTTTTTGCAGATAAATGTACCATAGACACTAATCTTTGTGCAAAATTTCAGATCATATGCGCACTTTGTTTTTCTAGAATAATTATTCAAATTTTAAAAAAAATGACCCAAAATGAAAAGCGCTTAATAGCTTTTCACTCAAATTGGGCTAAGAAAAAAATTAACTACGATTTTCAATTTATTTCAAAGTATATTTCTTAATATTTAAACTATCTTTGCATATATTTCTGTTTAAAGTGCCCAATCTCATTTATGTAAGAAATTCAAATGTTATGTTTTTAGGCTTTTAAACCTCAGTGGAGTTCCTTTAACTCCAGTTACCAATTTTCTATTTTTAGTAACTGTGACATTGACCTTGATCCTAGAAGGGAGGGCCGGGGTGGTGCGTGCAATCCAAAATGAAGTCATTACATAAGCTTGCTTTACATCAAGTGTTCATTAAGATAAGTCAATCTGAACGTTAGTTATTGGCTGGAAATACATTTTTCAAAGTATTTCAGTTGAAGAAATGAAAACATTCTTGGTAATTATGTAGCAATGTCATGTCTGAACAAAATTCAGTAGGTCAATATCTACGATATTTACTTGCTTCATTATCAATAATTCATGCCATGCTATATTAAGTAC